TGCCAGTATTACTGACCTGGTTAATAAGAATGCCATATAAAGGCACTTTGTATCTAGGAAAGGAAATCAAAAGACTTCCACTATTAAAAAATCCCTTAGACTTAATAACTGCAAGAAAAACAGGAGTATTAAAATGTGCAGTCACACCGCCAGCAACTGAACTACTGCCATACGAATAAAGACTTGTATGAAGTCCTCCTGTCTAAAGACCCTCTGCATCGTACAGTGACAGCTACCCTGCAGGTTACCTGTGTGTCACACTTCAGATGGTTCTGATAAATTCTTGGTTACAATCTGTCAGACTGTACAATTAAAATTTTGAACGATGAATCGTAGCGTTACCGTGTAAATCGCAATAAATGTGAGTCGAAAGTCATCCATCTGCGCTGCACTTGTATTTTGAAAACGCAGCATAGCAAAACAAACTCTGGCTCACGATTTTGAGGATTTGCCGCTTTCCTTGGTCCTACATTAAATTAAATTCATTATTTTGGGGGTCTGAAAATGTTGATTGGACAAAAAGATATTGGATGTTGTCACAGGCTGTTTTCTGATATTCTGCAGATCAGATGATTCGAGAAAATGATCTTCAGATTAATCTGTAACAAACAATCTTTAGTTACAGCCCAACGTGTGAGAATTTTGTCTCAAATTTTGTTGTAGAAAAGACTGAAATGTTGCAGCATTAAAATCCTTATTTTTGCAAGTTAGACAGAGTGCAGGAGTCTTATCTACGAGTTTTATTCATCTTGTCCCTCTCCTGCGCACCTGTTTGGAAATAGATGTGTGAAGTTTGTATGACCCTTTAGTAGTTTACAGACAAAAGCAAGTTTAGAAAGGCCAAACGACTTAAAATTATGAAACTAAAGCACCTGTAAGTTTGCCAACACAAACTTCAACAGCTGATAAAACACTGATGTTGCAATGACGACTAAACTTCACCCAAATAAAAAAACAGAACACAGAAATTAAACCCGACTAATAGTTGCCAGCGGTGTGTTTGCACTTAAACTATCACCTGCAACCTAAAGACCCAACTGACACACGGTGATGGCACAAATACAGGAAGCTAAGAGGCTGATCAAAAATTAGTTGCATATAATTTTCTCATGCCAGCCTGTGGGAATCACACATAGTCCCAACAACACGGGTTTATTTGACCTTTCTGTGGTTTAAATTCAGTACAAAAGTCCCTTCAATCTGTTTGGTTTCTTTGTTTTGGTTTTCCAATTTGAACTCAAATAGAATTTTATATTCCTTAAGTAACAAGTGAAGATGATAAAATATTTCCACACCTACATTCAAGTGCTTAGAGGGTTATATTGCATCATTATCTTGTCTTACTCTACTCTAAACTGTAGCCACTGGACTTGCATTAAGCCTGCATGTTTAAGGACACAAGAGATGAATTTACTGTAGAAAAAAAAAACTACTCTCCTCTAGAAAATATCTGCGTGTTTTAGCGTTGATACCGTTTATCATTAAATATATTCTAAGTTACAAACAGCGTTTCTAAACTGCCTATCAAAACCAATTCACATTTAAGGAGCAGGAAGAGTACAGAGGCACAGAAGCTTATTGCTGCCACCGACGTAATATATGTAGAAATACTGCACTTTGATATTCACATTGTTATACCAAGGCTATGATCCGTGTCGGGGTTAAACCTCATGCAGTCTGACCGGTTAGTGAAGCCAAATGAGAACTAATCATCAGGTTGTATTAGAGCGGATGTTAACATTGGCCTCCACAGTAAAGTGCACAGTCCACACGAGAACATTTGAGGCTTCGTCACAACAATACAGAAAAAAAAAAAAACATTTTGCAAATTGTGAGGAATCTTTGCAGTTTCAATGGCCGAAGAGGATCAGTGGTGTTTTAATGTAAACAAATGGCAAAGAGCCACAACTTTGGAAGTTCAAGTGTTGTCTTGTTTCCCCTAATGGAGGTTATTAGTACCAGGGCTGAGTGATGTGTGGGTCTGATTCGACAGGTACTGTGAGTGTTTATGATATCATGATGAGAGTTTTTTATGACTGAAAATCTACTTAACAAAGAAGAGGGAAAGATGAGTTCCATAGAGTTTTCGTGAGACACCAGGACTATCAGTGTCACAGGGTTCAGAAACAGACATATGAGTTTGGGGGAAATCATCTGACAGTCGTTTCATATGCTGGAGTCATCTTACTTTGATCCATGATCATTTGCTCACACTAAATTTGCCTGTTTGTACAACATGGAGCTCGATCATTAGAGCATCTGCACAAGGTTCAGCACAGATAGGAAGTGTGTATTGGCGAATCAACGTGACATGATTATTATGGGAGGAGCAGAATTAGCACAAAACACCTCAGTCCAAAAGCTACGTCCAATGATTAACCATCTTCTTCTGGAATGAAAGCAAAATCAAGCTGAAAGCATAGACTGTAAAAAGGAAGTGGATGTAGCCACTGTGACGTCACTCCTTGGTTTGTAGGCTACCGTTTGAAGAGTCCAGTTTGGCATTTTGGCTGCCATCTTGTTTTTTTTTGGAGCCAGAAGTGACCATATTTGGATGAAAGGGTGGAGCTGTGGAGGGGCGAGGGGTGGGTCTGACTGAGAGCAATGTAACACCACCGTGGTAGCGACTTGTCAATTACAAGGTAGCCATGCCAACAGCATACCTTGTTTTATCCTCTTTACTCTAAAAGGAGAAGATAATTTACATCATGCTGTGTTGGAGAAGACTTAAAACTAGTGTTTGGGAACATAAATATCCAAAAAAATGTTTACTGAGGTAATAAATCAAGTGAGAAGTAAGGTCAATTTCTCACAGACTTCTATACAATCGGACGTCTTTTTTGCAACCCGTGACGTCACAATAGGGCTGTTCTGCCATGATTAAAGGTGGCTCAACACCACAATATTGAGAATTACTGCCATTTTTTGTTGTTGTTGTGCTTGCATTTTTAACCAATCATCGCAACTTTACTGCAAATTTGACTATATCAGGTAAAATCTTCCTGCCCTCTATTGATAAGCTCAGCCCACCTCTCTGTCTGTGTATCATGAGACTACAGCTGCTGTACCTGGGCTCTGTGCCTGAGACAGAGTCACACACACACACAGTGGATACCTGTTGGCATCAGACAGACAATGTTACCAAATGTTATTAACAGATTTAAGGACAGAGGTGAGTCGTTTCAGTGTCCGTGTGAGATTAATGGCTCTATGTCAGACGTTAATCACTGTTGTGGGGCTTCCCAAAATATGACGAGAAGGGATGAGATCATGTTCTGCTTTGTTAGGTTGAGCTAACCGGGCAGAGACAGCAGAAGGAGAGCAACTCAGGTAGACTGTCCTTCAACGCTGCTTCAAACAGCATGAACAGTTAGTTGGCAATCAGCTGCTGATGCCTTCACTGCCCACCCCTCTCTATCACCACAGTTAAATTCCAATTCTGTGGGAAACGCTGAATGCTCATAATAATGGGCTCCAAATCTGTGACGGCAACACAACTATTCTTTGAAACTGTCACTTGCCTGCAATTTCACTGCCTAAAAAAAAGACCCGAAACATAGTGACATGCATCGGCTTTTTTTGTTGTTGTTGTTTTAGTAAAGCTGCCATGAAATGAGGCACTGTGAGCCACAACAACCCCAAAACAGCCCTCGAAATCTTGGAAGGGATGATTGCTGTTGTTCAGGGTGTGAAGGCTGGTCTTTGTGGTATTTGTCCCACCCTTCCAACACTGTGATTGGACAGCTGGGTAAAAAGTGACAGTTACTGCTTCTGTAGTGTTTAACCTAAAGATTTTACAACTCTCGGCGATCAGAAAAAGTAGGCAAAAGTGCAGCGCTGAGCACAAAACAGATGCTCGCCATCAAGCTGGCTTGACTGACAAATAGTGTGATCATTAGAGTCGCTCCCTGCTGGCCATTAGAAAGAATGCAGGTTTAAAACACTTCCTTATTGGCTTCACTTTCAGACACGGAGGCTACATCAACTTCTTTTAAACAGTCTGTGGCATCAGGTAGAGTCAGGTGTTTGGCACCGTCTGAACACCTAATAAAGGTCCTCGATTTAAAGATCTGCAAATGGACTGCATCAATATTTGCTCCACATGGTGCTCCAATATGTCATATTCTCATATATTCTAAATCCATTAAACATAAAGACAGCATGAGAAATCAACAACAGTATGCGCATGAATCATGAAATTTGCTCAAAGCCGTGGTTTTTAATTAGATGGCCTATGTTTTTATTTTTTAATGTATAACATTGTGCAGTGTTGACATCACTCAGCCCTAATTAGTACCAGCCATGTGTCTTTACACTGACAGGTTGTCACTTCAGCCTCGTTACGATCATATTGCTTTTAGTGCCGATGGAACTGCAGCAATTTTATGCAGCTGTGTTCCTTGTTGGACACAGTGAGCTGGAAGTTTATGCACGGAAAAGGAAATTGTAGTTTTATGCGAAGCGCCTCCCTATGAATTTATACGTTATAGTGAGACCTCTATGTGTTAGTACCTTGCTCCAGCCTTTGATCCAGACAGGGAATGTAACCCCCAGCAGAGTTAGTGCCGTGAGAAGACTCAAACACTTCTTCCAGCTGACTTGCATAAAGGTTTGTTACAGCAGGGTGGTTAGACATGATCACCACCAAGCCCAGTATTAAAGGCAAGTGCTGATTGCAGTGGATTAAGAAAGTGCTTTCACCACTTCACTGATGTATCTGCTAAACCGACTCACAAGTTGCTTCCTAATTTAGTCACAGAAGAGCCTGGGCTCCACTTTTCCTTATATTTTATACTGACAACAGAGGAACTAATCTGCTGACCAACACTGGGAAACAAAAGAAGAATCTGATCATTGGTTTAAAGCCCCACTGTGGGGTCTGTGTGGCATAGGAGCACCTGACAGGAGGTCAGGTGGGAGCAGAAGAGCTGGACAGGGGGGGGGGGGCAGGTGGCTCCACAGTGTTGGGTCCTCTCTGTAGAGACTCCTCTAAGACTTGCCTGCGCTGGCCACGAACGGGACCGAGCCAAACAGGTCCTCTGGTGGCAGGGGCTTGGCGGCGGAGGCAGCAGGCTGCGGTCGGTCCGCTTCAACGCTGGCTGTTCTCTCCACTGGCTTTTCTGTATGTAGAAGATCAGAGAGGGGGAGATACTTAGAACATCTAGGCCAGTGTTTTTACCCACATGAAGCTCTCAATACTTAAACGCAAAATCACTTTTAAACATGAAATTAACACAGGTTGTCCAGAGGTATCAGACACTTACATTTATTGCTTTTTAAGACCTTGTAAAATTAATTCAAATCAAATTCAAAACTTGAGACAAATCAGATTTTTCTTATTCAAGCATTCCAATTAAGTATAAAGATAAGTAGTATATACGTGGTCCTGTGCAGAGATAGGTTTTATTTGGGAAAATAATAGAGTGAGTTACTCTACATTTTGCCTGTGAATAAGTGCACGTATAAAGTTAAGTTTTAGGTTTAGTAGCAGGTTAAAAGATTCGTAACACCAGAAATGTGGATTCCACGCAGAAGAGCTTGACTCATTTTGACATAAATAAATTAAAAGATGGATAAGTAAAATTAAATAAATACGTTTGTGGCGATTTAGACCTTAAAAATTCAAATTTAAGAGTTTATAATTACTTTTTAAGGCTATAACATTGAACTTAAGACATTAACAGACTTTCTAAGCACCTTGCAGACACCATGTAAGAAACTACGCTCCACCTGGTGATGATTTCTTTTTCATTTGCATAATTGCAACTGTAAATAAAGTACGCTGTATCCTATTTTGGTTTGTCACATATATATTTTGAACCATTGCACATCCCCTCTTACACAGGACTGTATAGCTCTTCTACTTTAAAAGCAGATCTATTTTTCCTTACATTTTTCAGTTTTTCTATTGTAAATGTTTCTGTTTTATATCATTTATTGTTACGCACCAAAACACCAACAGATTCACTGTATGTGCAAATCTACGTGACTATAAAACTGGCACTCAGAGATACCTTCTGTCTGAGACATCAAAATTTAAATTTTACTGACAAAAAATCTTAAGAAATGTTAAATCTTTATTTGGTTCTGTAGCAAATATAAGTACAGTAATAGACAATCATGCAAAAGGTGCCACAATCTCCCTTTAAAAGAAAAAGAAAAAGTCTAACTTTTCTCATTCTCAAACAAAAGTAAACCAAACATAAACACAAACAACAAAATCATTGACGGGTCACTTGCTTGCTCTGAGCATGTCGAACTCCCGGTCGATCAGCTCCTCCTCGGTCAGCTTGGAGAAGTTGTCCTCTCCGAAAGGGTTCCAGCGCGACATGTCAGGGGGGTTACTAACTGTACTGTTGCAGCTCTGAGAGGGAGGTGTGATCCCATCTGAGGCAAGCAGAGGGTTTCGACTGTGGAGACAGAACAACAGGGAGATAACCTGTTATGGGTAGGATTCACCAACGGCTGTAAGATAACACCTAAAAACTAAAATCAAGGATAGAACGAGAGATACGTGTTCAACTGGTAAGTTCAGAGGACATTACCTGGGGTTAGTGTAAGAGGGATCCACAGGTGACGGTCCACCTATCTGGACACTTCCAGCTCCAGCAGTGGGTGTTGTGGCGTTATAGGAACCCAACGGGATCTGGAACTCAAGAGGGGAGGACATATAGGGGAGAGGCTGCTGAGCGGGATGAAGCTGCTGCTGCTGCTGATGTTGTTGTTGTTGTTGATGTTGATGATGTTGCTGCTGCTGCTGCTGCTGAACAAAAGCCTGTTGGTACTGGTGCAGCTGTTAGGGAAGGAAGAGAGGGAGAAGAGGGGGACGGGAATGAGGGACGGACCTTTGAGTTCAATGGCGCACAATGACGGCAACAAGATGATGAAATGTTGTTAGAAACCAGTTCTGGATTTGGAAAGCTGGGGACACGGTGGAGGGGAGGGGTGAAGGAATGAAAGTCAAACAGCACGTAGGACAACAAACTCAACACGTTCCAAATGCAATAAAGCTAAGTTCACACTATACAACTCTGACAGTCATCAGATGGCTGTATTGTTCACACTGCACACCAAGGCTGCAACTAGCAATTATTGTTATTATCAATTAATCTGCAGATTATTTTGTCAATTATTTGGTCTGTAAAATGTGAGGATATAGTGAACCATGTCCATCCCACTTCCTCAAAGTCTGAGGTAGTGTCTTTAAATGCATTTTTTGTCAGTCCAGAACCCAAAGACAGTCTGTTTAATATGATAAAAACAAAGAAAACTAGGAAATCTCCATATTAAAAGAGGCTGTAAACAGCATTTTCTGCCATTTTTGCATGAAATCTTACTTTAACAATTACTTCATTATCAAAATAATTGGTGAGAATTTTCTGTTGATCAACTAATTGATGAGTCGACGAATCGTTGCAGCTCTGCTACACAACTTATTGTTTTGTAATCAGAAGTCTTTAAGTCGTTCCCACTACATGACCAACCAGTGACATGATATCAAAGACTACACAATATTTTACCAGGAGGAATCTATGATGTATGTCATGTGATGCACAGATCGAACCACAACCCAGGTTCAGCAGGGTGCTTAGTATAGAAATCAGTCAAGAAAAACTAACAAACCAGTGCTCCCATTAAGTTGTAACCCCTATGACTTACAGAAACTTTGCATGCAATAGTCCACCTTCTCTTCCCTCCCAACCAAGGTTCCTACAGCTTAAGGTAAGTTATATTTTGGACTTTAAGACTTTTTTAATGCCACTTGGAATGAAATTTAAGACCGATATAATAATAACCAAGACTGAAAGAAAAAAAAATTAACACACTTCTCATGTCTGAGCATTTTTAAGACTTTTCAAAGATTGATTCAAGACATTTTAATAAAAATTAAAGTCATATGTTAGATTAATAAATTCAATACCTTTTAAGACTTTTTAAGAATCTGGGGGAACCCTGTCAAACACACGCACACACACCTTCGAGAGTGCTGTGGTGCCGCTTGTCTCTGTCCTCAATCTGTGTCTTGAGTTCTTATTTGCTGAAGCTCACTGACAAAGTCCCCTGACAGACAGGTCCAGATATTTAGCCTGCTACATATCTGAAGAGCTCCTCCGATGCCTTTCAGCTCACGTCTTTAACAGTTCACACATAGCGCTTAAGTGCCGATTTGCAAGTTGGAGAGCTCCAGAAAACTGTCAGTGAGTGGAAAATCAGGGCTGTAGTGGTGTAGTGTTGTATAGGCATAAGGATCGCCTCAGACACTGGCTGACCATTTTAAAGATGCATTCACTGATTTTTTTTGGGGGGAAGAAATCTCCAAAACTGGCTGACTGATAAATATCAGTTGTTATGAATAACATTTTAACTGTTGGTCACCTGCAGACTAGCATTCAGTTGCACTCCCTCTAACATTCACTCTTTTAAGCGGAGGCCCTTAGAAAATAAACTACTTCTTAGCTACTAAATGTTTTAGTTTCTTTATCACCTTCTTCTAAAGGAGGCTTCTTCTCCATTGGAGAATTAACATTAAAAAAACATAACATATTTCTTACATTAAAAGACCTGCAGCCACAACAAACCCACTTTAACTTGAGACCAACAGAAGTATCTAGCAGCTTTGTTAAGGGACTGCAGCTCAGATACACAGTAGAGCAGCACCGTGCAGATCTTTGAACACAAACACGATTTTTTTGTAAATTAACAAAAGGATGTACAAACTCAAACCTTTTTTTTTAAAGATATTTTTTGGGCATTTTCAGCCTTTATTTGACAGGACAGTTAAGTGTGAAAGGGGGAGAGAGAGGGGGGGTGACATGCAGCAAATGGCCACAGGCTGGACTTGAACCCGGGCCGCTGCGGCAAGAGCCTTGTACATGGGGTGCGTGCTCTACCACTAAGCCACCAACGCCCCTCAAAATGAACCTTTTAACATGATTCATGTTTCTTTACATCTTAATTCTGCTATTGTTGCTCCGTCCTCTGCCTCCTTTTTTCATGTTTTCTTAACAAACCACGTTTGTAAAAGCACTTCTGTCTGTGCACACACCGCTGCTGTGCTTTTAAAGTGCTGTACAAATAAAGTTGATCTGTTGTCACACACCATAAAACAAATCTGCAGTCACTTCGCAAAGCTTCTAGAAGAAAGGAGGAGGTCTAAGATCACAGAGGAGATGCTGCTGTTGAACATTTATCAGGTATCTTGGGAATAAGAAGAGTGAGTTTTTTAGAGGTGCTCTCTTCCCCTGCCTGCGAACTGCTTCATATGTCGGGATGCAACACAGAGGAAACTGCTCGATTTCACTCTCTGTTCGATCCCCTTGTGGCTTCGCTCCGACCAGATTGCCTCTGAAATAAAACAGATGGTACGCGTTCGGTGGGAAACAGACTAAAAATTGCGCCGCCCTAACAGAGCGCATTTGGAGGACCTGTGTTTGTGTGTTTGATTCAGTAGCTGCGTAAATACTAGTTTTCTGAATATTTGGACAGAGTCAGTAGGAAGTTTGAGCGTCTGCTTCCAATGCTGCTTGGCACAGACGCGAAGCAACTCGACTAAAGAGGACTGGCTGCCAGTGTTTGGAACAGAGAGAGCAATTTTAGGCCATTCTGACATTAAATGAAATATTCAGCTCCGTGTTATTTCATGCTGTGTCTCCATGTGTTTCGCTGTCATTTGCTCAAACTATTTATTACTGTTTTGGATGAAATCTTCAGCTCAGAAATTATGTCATGATTTTGACTTAGAAGCATCCTCAAATGTTTGAATGCAAACAAAAGCAAATTCAATTTGATTGATGTCCATTTTAGGGCAGACAGTGAATCAAATTGAGCCTCGGCAGCTTTCAGGCTTTTGAAAGAACTCACCATGGCTGCGTACTGAGCCTGGGCCTGAGCCTGGGCCTGAGCCTGGGCAACCTGCTGCTGGTACATGGGCTGCATCATCATCTGCTGCTGCTGGAGGAGGGCCTGCTGCTGCTGAAGCTGGAGGGACTGCTGCACAGCCTGTTGGTACTGAGGAGGGGAGTAAAGGGAATTAAAATCTGAACATTTCCTCGCAGCGACGGCTCCAGATGTCAGTGTGGTGGATTTACCTGGAGGTATTGGAGTTGCTGTGCATTTGCATGTTGTTGCTGCACTGCTTGTTGTTGTTGGTGGTGATGTTGTTGTTGCTGTTGTAGCTGCTGTAGACGCAGGTCACCAGGCTGTAGCTGCTGCAGGACTCGGTGCTGCTGACTGCTAGGCTGGGGCTGCATGGATGGCTGCCCAGAGCCAGGGGTGGGAGCTGAGTGGACAGGTACAGATCGATGGATGTATTACTTATTACAACACCTCACTGAGCACAGAAGCCAACACAAGTAAACTGTATAACTAAAGGGGCTCTGATTAATCTGCCGATGCTCATTCTAAATGGATCAGTGGTCTCTATAAAGGATGATCGGAAGTCAATCAGATGATGCAAAAAATGCGAGACAATCGATCCCTCTTCTCTAGATTCTCTGAAATGTTCAATATAATCTGATGACTTTTACGACAGTACTGCAGGTCAAATGTGTGCACTACTGAAACATCCAAAAGTCATTTATATGGGATACAATCAATGATAAACCTTTTTTTTTTAACATTCAAAGGTTTTATTGAGGTTTATGCATGAAGCCTCGAATGTCTGTTGTCATATTTTATTCTCATCGACTCCCTAAAAAAATAAAATATCCTCGAATATTATCCTCAGTTTAAATCAAATGATTCATTGGATTAAAATGAGTTGGTCATTTTTCATAAAATTGACTTTCTCTAACAAACAAATGTAATTTATGGTGCTGCTAGACCGCCCTGTTAATACAAGTGCGTGCCTCTGTTTGTGTGCGGCAAGAGGGGAAGCGTGGTTTTTGAAAGGATAAACACCAACAAATATAGATTAAAGCTAAATATTTCATTAGTTACAAACGTTATGAATTTTAAAAATGATTACATCAATGTTTTTTCAATAGATTTTGACTTTTAGACTTAACAATACTCTAGAATTAAAAGAAAATGTTGGATCACAGAAGTCAGACACAATCCTAGGCAGCCATCACTAGTACAGCACTGATAATATTAGTGCAGCCTATTCTTTATCTCCAACTGTGCAGAAATAACTAAGGTTAAACGGAATGAACAGACAAGCAGTATTTCAGTATTTCAATGTTGATTGAAGCTTCAAAGCTTTGAAACATTTGGTGCAGCTCTAGAAAGTACCATTTGAAAATCATACTGTAGGAACTTCACAGACACATCTTTCCTAATACATACTGACACTGTATTTGCATAAGATAAAACAGGATTAGTTTTCTGAATTTTCATATAAAAATCAATCTCTTATGTTCAACAAACCTTTCTGGCCGTTGCTGACGGGTGCTGAAGGCACGGTCATTTTGACAGGGGTGACAGTGTTGGCGAGGGGCAGGACGTTACTGTTTGCCGCTTTTGGCCTCTGTCTGGGAGCTATCGATGTTTCCGTTGGGCCCACAGCGTCCGTTATCCTGGAAAGAAGGAGTCAGAAGTTGTGGTTTTATTTTCCTCGACCAACATCAATAAACTGTGCCTCTTAACATTTGGTTTATGCACAACAAGGTTAGCATGGCCCTGATGTTTATATGTGTTTTGTATTTTAATTTCAACCCCGAACAGTGATTTTAACTTGTTCTTTTCATTAGTTTGAAGACACCAGTTAGTCTTAAAAAGCCATATGCTTTAAATACAACCTTACACTCAACCTTAACAGTCAATTCATCAACACCAGTGTTAGCATATCTACCATAAGAAAAAATAAAATAAGAAACCGTGAGTGAACAGTACCTGGCTTTCGTCATGCTTTTCCTAGCAGCAACCTCACTGGCTGTTAGAGGCTCTGGGAGCGACGTGGGGATGGGAGAGTTCTGGAAAAAGAGCAGGAGAATTACGTTAATACAAAAATGACTGCAAAGCCTAAAGCCACGCTGAGTCCTTTGTTCCAGCTACTTACAAAGAGATTTGGCACTGGACAGTCTTTTCCAGCTAATTTGAAGGCAAAGTAGGACACTTGGTAAATGTCTGGTCTCTTCTCCTGGTCTGGTTCGAGCATATATCCTGGGAAAAAGAGAGAGGTTATTTTTATTTTACCAAACTAATGACATTTCTTTTCACTTGGGCATTTCACTAAATGAACAAACCTTACTTATACAGTAAGTTTCTTTGTATGTTCATATGTCTGAGTGTTTTTATATGAATGCATGGATGTTTATTTGCACATTTACAGGACCATCACGAACCAACAGACTTAAAACATGTTTGCCTGGGCCATGAGTAAACTTAACTCCAAAAAGCACTGCATAACCTTATAGGCAATATGATGACTGTCTTTAGAGAGCAAACCTACTGGAGCATGAGCAACAGTTACATTTGTTTAAGTGCAATAATTACATTCATACAAGTGCAATCACTATATTTATTCTAAATTCTAGGACCACTGTTGCTGGCACAGACTCACATCCTTATTGTGGAGGGCTTTCTGCTTTACACCTATGGACCTTTGATCAACGCTGAACCAATGTTACTTCATTTCCATCCCATATCAAGACTGCAAAAGCTCTAGGTGCTCTAGGAAGTACATGGTGCCAGAGGTCCCCCATCCCTACCCCGGCCTCTTCGACAGCCACGTCTGGCCCATGTAGTAGAAACACAAGAGCATCAAGGATGTTCCTGTGCCTTTTTACTGCATCAGAAGTAGCCTTTTTAATTTCCTTGTATACTGCGCAATAAAGATAAAGGCTTTTGATTCTATTCTATTTCTATGCAGCATGTTGTGCAGAACATCACTGGCTGATTTATTATTGTGCATCTTCTCTCTTTGGCCACTTGGAGGAGCTCTCGGTCAAGTAATCTGAAAAGGGAAGCTCCACTGCAGGATGCATTTACAGTAGGGAAGTGGAGCAACTTGAAAGCAAACAAGGCTGCCATGACTGTCAGTCCACGACTGGTTCAAACAGGCTCAAGTTGTGGAAATGCTTAAATCAGTTACCAACCGCTCGCACAGCAGCACTGTCAAAGTAACACAGCAAAACAAAGTTGTAGGTGTAACTTGCAGTCTAGCTAATGACAGAAATATATATATACAGAAAAAAGAGCTCCGTCTGGAAAACCCCCACTGAAGAAATACTCAAACTTCTGTGCTGCATTCTGTGTGATTGTGTTGGTAACTAGTCTTACTGACACAGCAACCTTTCCTGTAACAGTATCAACTGTAATTACAGGACAAAAGGTACGCATACACACTTCTAGAGGAATGATAAAATGCTCCAAAATCATCAGAACAAACACACACTGTTTAAAAAAGACAAATTAGAAGTCATCACGCCCGTACAGTTATAAAAGGCAATTCTGAGGTGGTAATTTATTACTCCAAAATCATTAGAAGACACATTCTGACATCACAAATCAATGTTAAGTCCCAAACTTACTGATTAAACAGTGCAACTTGAAGGAGAATTTGGAGTTATCTGGAACAATAAAGGTTCCGTCACATATGGCAACTTGACTCTCCCCAAATGGAAGTGCGAAGAAACACAGCTTGTACAACAAGCATCCAAGTGCCTGTGGAGAAAACAGAAACAGAGATGAGGAAATAAACGCCTGAACTCAGTCAACTTTTAGAGGGTGGGTGTCGTTTGAAAAGATCAATGCTGGTGTCAACACAATACCTGAGTTTTGATACCATATTGTATTCTCTGTTCACTGCCTTTGTTTCAGAATCTAAAACCTTTTTTTTTTTATTATTTTTAACAGGAAAGTTAGTTAATTTGTCTCAACGCTTGTTTGTTTAAAGGCAAATTTTGCCATTTTTTCAACCAGCACTGTGTCATCACAGCGTCATCACAGCATGTGTAGATGAACAGCGTTTGGCTTCTCCCTGTGCTGCTAGCACCTGGAGCTCCCCACCAATCTGCCATGAGACCACTGGACCACTGGACCACTGGACCACTGGATGATGCGTTTCGCCAAACACTGTTCATCTGCAAACACCGCGATGACACAGTGCTGGTTGAAAATCAGCAACGTTTCCACTAAACAAAATGCAGCTTAAAACCAACAAAGTTATGATTCCAAAAAAGGAGATATCTGACCAAAGAGGACACAAACAAGACTACAAATCTGACCATGTGTTTGATGCCAACTTTGAATGCTTGGCAATTTTTGATGCTCAATGTTACAGACTCGAATTCAAGTTGTAAACCTCCACTCAGAGAGAGAAAAGGGAAAAAAGAATTAAGAGGGCCACCAGAAGAAACAAGAAGTCTGTATGAGTTACAAGAAGAAGACACAAGATGTAACTTGCTGATTAGTTTTGTGTCTCAACGTATATCTTTGCTTTATAGAGGGCTAAAGGGAGAATTATCTGTGGTTCTCATCAGCACTCATCAAAATACAGGAAATAGAGATGAAAAAAAGACCTCTACAACCACTTAACATGTCAAGTGCAGTCCATCCCACAGGGAGGCCTAACTCTTTCTCTACCCACTGAGCTACACAGGACTGCTTAGCAAAGAATTAATGTTCCTTATGTCGCTGGCTAAAAAGCTGCTTTTAAAATCAGGCCCAGAGTCTGCTCCCCTGGCAATATGGCTGTCCAAACAAATCCACATGCAAAAGTGCTCTGCTCCCAAATCATATATTCAGTTGGTGCTATATTTGGCTCCAGCATCTTTTTGTTGATGATGCAGTTGGAGATGAAAGAGACTTTGGAATTAGCCACAGCGTTTAGGGGATGTTTTTCCCTTTAAGCGCTGTATCTGAAGACGGATATTCTTCACAGTTCTCTCCACTCAACGGGCTAATCCAGTCTGATACTAAACTCCTAATCTGAGTCGGACAGCTTATCTGCCAACAAGCCCCAGAATGCATGGATAAATATTAAATATGACACTTGTGTGAGGCAACAACATATGAAACAGCAGAGTTTTAAAACACATGGCTAAACATAGAACAGGAAGTGAGAATGCAGGGGGTAGTCTGCAGGAAGTTGGTGTTTTTGTTGTACGTCCCACAGTAGTTCCTTCAACCAGAGGCCTGTTTGAAGCTTCGGTCTATTCATCTCATGTAGAACTACTACTGCAGACTGATACATTAATCCACTGTGACAGGATCATTAAAGTAAACATGAAAAGACTGTTTTCAGTGGCTGTTTATTCGAAGCCACAATTCATCATCACAGATATGCATGTGTTACTGATTCAACTCTTTGTTCAATTTGTCCACTATCCAAACTGTCAATAATCCAATGCACGTCTGAGACAACGGCATAGAAACACAACAAAATGCAGCCAGACTTCTGCATAGTGTCAGCCCAAAATTTAAAGATGCAGGAATTTATGTTTACTGTTTGTAGACAGTACTGCCAGCTAAAGTGAAAGCCAACCACAGATTCAGTCTCCTTTTGGAACAAGCTTTGTCCGCTTTACATTTCGCCTCATATTTGCATTTTTTCAGCACAATATCCGTGATTTTTGTAGCTTCTTCTTGGATGCATGCTGCTTACAGTCTGGCACCTGGCTGTAACTTTTTTAAAAGGCTCCGATCTCACCTGCACTCTGTGCCCAGGAAGAAAATAAGAGAATAAAGGCAAAGGACAGAGCCATTAACCACCACACACCTCAAGTGGGTCATAAGTAATGATTGAGAGGGATCACCTCTGTATGACTCTATACCTTGTTCTGAGGAAATCTGGCATTAAAATGCCCCTTTTCCACCAAAATTAGCATGTGTGTGTGCAGGGTGTAAAATTAACACCCGCCAAGCGCTAATGGAAAATTTTGAATTGCATGTGGTTTTTTTATGTGCTTCGACCATTTCTGCCAGCTGTGTCAGACAATTTTGACCCTCGCAGCTTATTGTTCGTATGCCGGGAATGCATGACATCAGCTACCGGAACCCTGGGCATTCTGTGGTACTTTCTGAGCAAGATGTGGCGACACATTTCTGCCGTGAAGCCAACGCCAGAAGAGGAAAAACGAAGATGAACATGTTGGATTTCGACAGGAAGAACAGACAGTTAAACAGAGTATAAATGTCGCACGGCATTTTATTGAAAAATGGAAACTAGACAACACTGGCCAGCCGCGGTCATGGCTGACCTACGACCCCCACACCAACACGATGAGCTTCAGCCTTTGCCGCAAGCACGCCAAAGAAACACAGAGGACAGGGTTGGATTTTCCTAAAGTTGGATTTGAATTATTTTTAGTCAAACAAGGCACGCTTTTTTTTATTTGGCTGGTGAAAAATATGTTTGGCCGGTAAATTTTTGGAGATCACTAGCAGACGGCAGATGAGGTAAAAAGTTCATTTTACACCCTGTGTGTGTGACATGAGAAAACCTGTTAAAAATAGGCAAACGACTGCTTTGCCATTGCCAGTGACTAGTCACTTCAAGGTCACAGGCAAGCCAGAAAACAGGTTAGTAAATGGTAGAAAGCAGCATGGACGCCTGTGAAAATGTTACAATGTGTACCTCAGTCTCTCTCTCAAACTCAATGCAGACTAAATGTTGAACAATGTTCGAGTGCTGCTTGGACGGAGCAGACTGTACTTTGTGGTGGCCCATCATTGCATCTTGTCGGCAAAGAGGCTAAAATTAGCACCTCCACCCGCGCATCTAATTGCTATCAATGCAGATTGAAGCCGAGTGGAGCTGGAGCCGTTAAATACCCGTGGCTACTGCAGAGTCATTTGTCTCTGGAGTGAACGCAGATTGTAACCGCTCCCATTAAATACAAAAGCCAGATGTTAGTGGGTGTTTGTGGGTTTTTGCGCAGAGAGAAAGGGGCTTGATAAATAGTGCATTTTCTCAGTTAACTCAAAAATTAATCAACTGATCATCTGATTTTTACGGACTGCTTCACTGTAAGCTAGAATTGCAGTATTGCTTGTATCCTCAATTAAGAGTACTAGACATTAAGCTTTTTTTAAAGGCAGTGATAGTTGAGATACTTACAAATTCTGTTACAGTAATTTTAGAAACATATCCTTTTGTACAGGAAGCTTGATATTATTTGTTTAGATAGTTTCATTTGTATTTCAATCTGCACTGGTTAACATACAGTATGTGTAAATATTGTTGTATACATGTATGCTTCTTAATAAAACCCTCTAGAACAATAATCATTTCAACAGTTGTTGTCTTTTGAGTCTTGATTCAAAGCTGTATATCAGAAGAACGTGAGAAAGTCCAAGCAAAGATCACACGTTTATAACGCACAGAGTGACCTATTAACAGCTGCATCTTTATATGCTGGCTGTTTTAACTCCCTGGGTGCATCAATTTACACCGCTCCTCAAAATGGCTGCAGTCCAAGCCCTTGTTCCTGCCTCTCTACCTCGCACCTTCAAAAAAACAGCTGAGGCCTATTTCACATGAGCTTATCGAGGTCCTCGACTGAGCCTAATTATCTCAAAAGGAGGGAGTATAGAAAGAGACAGGCAGCAGGGAGAGAGGAGCAGGACGAGGCAGAGTGTAGTGAACGATGTTGCTCAATGTTTTATGAGGGAAAAACACTGTTGGAGAGCTGGTGGAGGCAAACAGCCCCGAGCGAGAGACTGAGTGAGGGAGAGAGAGGAGGAACCTGTCGGGGCAGAGTGACGCCCAGGACACTGCCAGGACAAACCAGCCCTGCAGGGTGCATAACACACACACACACACACACACACACACACACACGCACACACACACACACGCACACACACACACACACACACACACACACAAATACTGTACACACATACAAAGCAGGCCCTTACCCATATATCAGCCTTAGTGGTGATGGCTTTCCCTGCGTACAAGTTAATCATCTCTGGCGCCCGATATGAGAGGGTCGTGTACCTGTGAGACACAACAACAGAAAGTTGTCAGTTGCAGGTCAAAGTTCAAATGACAAAGTACCAGAGGTGGTTTACACAAGTACAGTGCTTAAACACAGTTCTGAGTTACTTGTTCCTCTTTTTTTTTTTTTTAAGATTATTTTTGTGGGCTTTTTGCCTTTAATGACAGGACAGTTAGTGAAAGGGGGGAGACAGAGAGAGAGTGGGGACTGACATGCAGCAAAGGGCCAGATTCGAACCCATGGCCGCTGCAGCAAGGCGGTGCCTCAGTGCATAGGGTGCCGGCACTATCCACTATGCTACCGACGCCCCCTTGTTCCTCTTTTAATGGGAAAAATAATCTACTTCCTGGCAACATTCAAAAAATGCTTTGTGGCAGGGAGGGGGAATATAATTGAAGACTCTAAAAAGATAATATTTTCAGCAGATATATAGATGAGGAAAGGTTGTGATAGGGGAATGCATATTTATTTTGTAACATTGGGTGGAACTTGGACTGTAAATAAACAGTCAAAGTACTTATTTATCTAATTGGGTGGTAAATAAACTGGGGAGGGTTGTATATTAGTTGTACATAAATTTGGGAATTTGTTGAAATAATACATGAGTTAAAAGAAGAAACGTAAGAAAGGAGTAGGGACATAAATTTTACTTCTGCCTACTCCTTTTCAGACACTGTTATCTTTGTCTTGTTTTTTTTATTAAGTTTCTTTTTATTTTTGGCTTGAAATAAAGTCATTTATTCCCATCATTCAATACTATCTTATACTTCTACTCCACCACATTTTAAAGGGAAATGTTATATTTTTTACTCTAGTGTATTCTTTGCCAATTGTACTTATATGTAAGGTTATTATTCTATATACAAAATATATAATACACTGAAAAACATATGATGGAATTGGTACATATTAAACTCCTCAAGATTATATACAATTTAAAATCAGCTCCACCTCGACCAACTACAACACTGTAATAGTACTTATATGTAAATGCAATCCAATCTGATTCAAGTCATTTAGTACTGAGTATCTGCTGATACAGAGTCCCAATCCAACACTTCTTTTTCCTAAATAATTCAGATGTGCACTGCAAACTTGAAGTACCTTAAAGTTATTAAAATCAATCCACTTTATATGCTTAACAATTGAATAGTTCCGTAATGTATTGAGAAAAAAACCTGCACACAAACTGTTCCTTAATGTTTGTTATTTAATATTTTTTGTTATAAAATAAGTTTAAAATAACAAACACTCCTTTTAGCTGTATTTCGTTGAGTGTTTATTTTCGTCAGCAGTAAATCTTTTGCGCGAATGAGGCTGCATTAATATATTACTCTTATGGGCTCTTTGCTCGTGGGGCTTTTGTTGCACTTGCAGTGACATGGTGAGTGTGGCTGTCGTAAGCTCTGCACCGATGTCTGTTTCTCCTCTGAGCCGTGGGGCAGTGAAACACCATGCGCTATGATGACAAGAGATGATGATTCAAGAGACTGTCACACTGAGCTGAAATAAAAGAAGTGCTCATAACTTCAGTAAATAACATGAACAAACCATCTCGTACTGTGTTTTGCTGTCGTTTATGGAGTCTGGTGTTTCGTTGTAGCTGAATGAGAGTTGGAGAGCTGACGATAGCTGCACTCGTGTTGCTGTGCATGACACAGGATCAGATCGGACGCTGTATAGCTCAGTATAGCCGATCTTGATCAGTTTAAAAATGCCTTGATCGGCCCCGTTAACTATCTTTGTGTGTTTTGGCTAGGGATGTCCCGATCTGATCTCAGATTTAGGGCAATAAGGCTGATATCTTATTTAGATTGCACTACATGTTTGCTCTACTGCATTCCTGCTAATGCTAATATCCTACACAAAACTATTTACTGACTGCACCGCCACTTAATGTCACTGAAGACTGTGACCCATACACACATGAATCGCGCACTGTCTTATTTCCTTTCAATGCCTAGTTATCCTTTTTAACTTTTATTTATATTCTAAATTTTTAAACATATATTTTATCATTATTTTTTAAATTGATATTTATTTTTTTAATTTATTTTATTATTATTTTTATTTTTTGAAATTTCTATATATTTTTATTTTCATATTTGTATATTTTTAAATATTTTATTCATTCTTAATATATTATCTTTTTATTTTAGTACTTTTTAATTATTTTATCTTATGCCTTTATTATTTCTCCTTTATTATTATTATTATTTCTGTCACTACCTCTGAGCACACTTTCCATTGATGACACATGGGTGCTTCAGTTTCCCGACATAGAGAAGAAAAAAAAACAGAATCTCACCGCAAACATTGCCAAACACTTAGTTTTGTTATCTATTCAAAGTCATTCTGATACTAATCAAAGCAGCTGGTTGTGTTTTGGTATAAATCCAGCTGGGTTATGAAAATGCAAAAGCTGTCTGAGTCACCACAGTTCAGATGGTTTCTGTATGACCAGAGAGGCATGAAGCAGAGTTTACACAAGGTCATATACTGTCGATAAGCACCACACATTGCCACACATTTATTGCCGCTATAAATGTGGGAAAGTTAAAAGGCCAGAGCTGAATGGGCTTCTTAGATCTGACACACAAATTATAAACACTACATCAGTACAATATAGTAGCAAGTGCTGGGGTTGTGACCACAAAGGAGTGCCACATTTACCACCTCCCACTGCACCATCATCTGCAGCAGATCAACAACAATTTGATTGTTTGCAGTTGTATGTATATGTTCAGTTTACGTGCAGTGTACGACTCTGTGTTTGGTAAACAGAGCTATTCTGATCTGCTCCCTGTGTGCCTTGAAGCTCACTCATTTGCTTTGTGGACACAAATAAATAGACCTTGAGTTGCAGCACGTTGAGTGAAATGCTGTATTTGACAGCAACCTGGCTGCACGCCAGACTTGGTTTGGATAGGAGTATTCTGAATACTGAAGGTAACAACACCTTTCCCTCACATAAATCTACCAGTTGTAGGCTATCTTCAACAGGGAACTGAGGAGACCCAGGAACTAGATTAAAAACGACAAAGTCCCATTTGTGCTGTTTGTGTTTCCACTACATCTGAATAACCGTGACGATGAGACAAATTAGTCCACTTCCAAGGCAGTGTTATCATGTTGTTCTTTGTCATTTTCTCTTGGGACGTTGGAAAGGAGACGAGCCTTTCTGGTGTTTCTGAGTGAATGTTTTTGGGTTATTTTTCTGCTTTTGAAAGTAACTGCATTAAAACAATTTGCAAATACACTTAGAGTTCTCTAAATTGTTTATGCTCGCTCATTCTTGTTGCCTCAATCTTTTTTTTTTTTTTTTGACTAGTTGGAAAGTTTGCGCCATAACCCTGTTCAAACATCAGTAACGTTTCAAGAAATCTCCATCGTATCACCCATGTTATAAGATTTGAGTCATTAGTTTGATAAGTCAGTGCAAACTCTCCCTTGATAGATTGTGAGCCATGATAAATATTATCTCAGCAGCAGGGACTTTTCGGGGTGCAGGACCTAAAACGGAAACTACACATGTTCCTGCAGTCGAAATGCAGGTTAACTTCCTGAGTTTTTTAAAACAGTCCTGGGTTTCCCCCAAAGTTCCTGTGGTGCAAAAAGTCCGTTATATGCTGGTCTTTTTTAGCAAGAGTTTTACATGACTTCACAACTTTACACACCACTCTGACAAGTATAACAATATTGTTACAGCAGCCAGAATTATGGTTCTAACATCTACTGTATCAAGTGACCTGCAGAACATAACATCTTTCATTGACAAAGCAACTTACTTCTTAATCTCGTCCTCCACGGCAGTCACTCCATCTTTATGTGGCAGCAAAATCTTGTGAGTGGAACTGCCGAAGTCACACAGCACATAGTTTCCCTGGTCGTTCAGCAGGATGTTTTCAACCTGGTAAATGAACAGACCGAGATTTTAGACGTCAAAGGCACTAATGAAAACATATCAATGACAGAATATAGATGCACTGACAGATGCAGTTGAATGAAACTTTTTCTTCACTGGCTTATTTAAACGCAGTGTCACTCATCATCCAGTAACAGAGCTGCAAACCCAGAACGTTTGGATCTGCATTTGCAGTCCAACCCGCACCACCCACAGGAAAGGAAAATGACAGCAGCAGAAGATTACAACTGAAGATGAAAACATGTTATTGTGTGCCCGAAAGTAATAGTTTTTTGCCATTTTCAAAGTGTTACAACTGCTTTTGCTTTTATTATAACCGTGTTTGTGTTTGAGGTTTCATATTTTACATTTTAAACCTGCATCATGTATCCTCAGCCTTCTGTGACTGTTCTAAATGTGTACAACTTATTTTCAATAAAATCCACAGTGTAAGTGTTAAATGTTAAATGTAAATCTTTAGAAAGAAAAACAGAAAATGTTTTCTATTAAAACGAGATGAAATGTCATTAATAACACACATTGGGCCTTATTTTACGCCCCACGCAGAGTGGAACAGAGCGCAGCACAAATATCATTGCTAGTTTCAGATTGACGCAGTTGTCATTTTCACAGCCAGCGCCCACGTTGTGTGAGCAGCAAAATGTACTTGTGCACATCTGAGCGCCCATGTGAATGTAACATGAGGTGTCTTAACATGAGGTGTGGTCAAGGGCATTGTTAGTGTATTGCTATTCTGAGGCAGCAGATTGCTTCATTGACCAACAAACACCTGGTCATAAGTCAGGATGGTGCAGTATATTTCTGCTATTTAAAAGGTGCATTACACAGATAGTAACCTCGTGCCTTGATAGGTGGGTTCACAACATGCATACAGTCTGCTTGTTACACACACAGAAATGCACGGCTGTCCAACTCTCCATTAGGAGAGACGCTGTGCGCAGTAACGCACGAGGAGCAGCGTAACTTCACTGTTTATGTCCAAAGCTCAATGTTAAGTTGTGTTTCCTCTGTCAAGTTTATTACAACAGTTTTTAGTTTTGCTGCTTAAATGTCCCACGGTATTTGCATTACTCTCAGCAGAAAACTGCTTGCTGCTTCAATTTGCCAGATCTGCCACGTAAATAGCAATATGCCAGGTGTAGGTGCACCTGGCTTTTGGAAGATGATGCTCTGACTGGTTTTTATGCCGATAACACACCTTTGATTATACTAATTAAGGGACTAAATGCATAACCTTTGCACCCAGATTAAGCGCTGTTTAGCTAGGCAAAAGTGGAGTTGGACACACCCTAAATGCACTTGCACCATGCACTTTGAAGAATCCAAATAGGGCCCTTTCTTTCGCTATAGGTGGCAAAATCAACATGTCAACATCTGCAGGTTTAAACTGCTGCTGCTGCTATTTGTTTTGTCATATCTTTTTTATGTGTGATGACCTGACGATGACCAAACAGCTCTTTCCCCATTACCAGTCTGCATCCAGTATAATTTAGCAAAAGCAAGACTGTGGTCGTGATTGAGATGCAAAATGCTATTGAAATTACATCAGCTGTGACTCTGAAATGTTTGTGGCAGACAGATGAACAAACAAACAACCAAGCCGAAGCTAATCCGCAATTACATCATAATGGGCATGGAAGACAATTAGTGGATAAAGTCGCTTGTAAAAACTCACAAACTGATTTAATACACAGTGATGGAGTAGTGGGACAAGCCCTCATTACAGTAATTCTGCCACAGGAGCCTCATCAGAGCTGTTCTGTGGCCCAACAGACAGGAGGCACATTTCAATAACAAGTCAGACTGAAAGCAGATGTGTTTCTTATTTGTATGTTATCAGATGGGTTTCAGGCATCGGTTTTTAGATGATACTTTTAGGACCACAGCAGGGAGATTACAAGCCTGAGTAACAACATGACAACAGCAAAGCAAGGAGTGAGGAATGGCTGAGTAAATGACAGAAAAAATGAAGGCAGGTGGAGGAATGTGATCAGCTGAAAGTGCGAAGAGGAGAGACCAAAAAGAGTATCAAGAAAAAGATTTCAAACTGTCCAAGGAAAAAGCTGAGCTAATGAAAGCAACACAGTGTCTCAATACTGTTGACAGCTCGGGGTTAAGGGGCTTTTTTTGCACTCTCACTTCCCCTGGCGATGCGTGACTGGGCCTCCGTGGTCTTTTGTATCCCTGCGATGTTATGTAAGCCATGTAGGCTGAACAGATAGATACAGACAGCGAACAGAGGACAGGCCTGTGAAGCTGAAGGGGCCGCACTGTTTAGAGGCTTGTCCAACTGGACAGAGTACAGCGGCCCACTGATGGGGCACTGAGGAGAATTCAACCAGGGTGGCTGGGAAATTACCACCGGCCTCCAAGCATCAGCAAAACGAGGGTAAATCTGGCTTGGAGCCACCCTTGGTTTAAAAATCTACTCTTACTAAAAAAAACAAGTTAGCTGAAAGTTAGTGAGGAATTTCAAGATGAAACGGCTATTCTGGCCTGCACAAACGGTAAGTGCTGTGCAGGATTAGGTGGAGGAGAAAGAGGAAAAGGAGGTGGATGAGCAACGAGTAGGGGGGTATCAAATAAGAGGAAGGAGAGGAAATAAGAGAGCATGCTGGCAAAGGAAGCGGGGGAGCGTAAGAGGAAGCAGAGGAATTAGAATGAGCAGTGAAACCAAAACGTTCTTTCTTGTGCTGACCAAGCACATTTACATCACTTAAGTTTACAAACACTATCTGACATTAAATTGAATAAATTACTGTTAAAGTGGCAAACCACAAGTTCCTCCTTTTGATATTGTCGACATCTTTTCAAAGCTGCTGCTGTAGAGTCAGTGCAGAACTCCATGCTTCAGATCCTGCCAAACACTGTTGAGTGTATTGTGACATCTTTTTTAAAGAAGTCTTAGTTAAGGAAGTTGCTTTAACTTCCCAGATATTCTTTTAACAATTCTGTTCCTGTTTTCAGGGATTAACAACCATTTGCAACCTTTTACCAATGTACTGCATGTTCAGCTTTTGGCCAAAGCACTTTGGGTTTTAGTGTTTTTCTCGAGGAAATGTCATGATTACTTATCATTTTTGTCAAGGGTCAGAGGAGTAAATGCCTAACCAACTAGTAAATAAGTGGTTAGCACTGTCACTTTACAGCAAGAAGGTTCCAGTTTCAAACTTGCAAGCTGGCTGTGACCCGTCTGTGTGTAGTTTCATATGTTCTCCCTGTGTCAGTGTGGGTTTTCTCCGGGTACTCCAGCTTCCTCCCACAGTCCAAAGACATGCAGGTTAGATTAACTGATGACTAAGTGTGAACATGAGTGTAAAGGGTTGTCTCTATGTGTCAGCCCTGTGATAGTCTGGCAACCTGTCCAGAGTATATCCTGCATCCTGCTCAATGCCAGCTGAAATGGGATAAGTGGTAATGGATAATGGATGGGTTAGAGTAGTTAATGCCTTACTAATTAGTCGATTAGTTTAGTTTATTAGGATCCCCATTAGCCACTGCATTGCAGCAGCTATTCTTCCTGAGGTCCACAACAACTTTACATTTGTGAGTTTACAAAACAACTCACATGTAACAGTGAACAAAATAACAGGACGAGACTACAACATTCACACAAATAAGACAGCTCTTGGTAACACAATAATTAAGATATATGCTTTTTCATGATTTCATTTGGTAAGTAACCGCCAGTTTGGGGCTAAATTTTGCTCTGATTACGTGACGATGCTCCATTATTGTAATATTAGACCAAGTACTGACATAATACTGTACATTCACATCTGTATGTTTCCATACACACATTACATGTGCATTAAAAGGAATAGTTCCCTGGAGAAACTATATTTTTACCATGCATGAAGTTCATTACTTGACTAGTCACTCTGCAGAAAATGATTTGATAGCAATGAATGGTTTAAGTCATTTATGTAGCAGAAACTTCAAAAATTCTCGAGCTCCAACTTTTATAAAGTTAAGGATTTGGTCGTTTTCTCAATCAAATATCTCTGGTAATTGAAAATCCTTTGGTTTTGAACCACTGGTCTGACAAAAGAAGCAATTTGAAGATGTCACCTAGGACTTTTCTTACATTTTACATAATCGAAAACATTCCTAATAAAAAAATCATAAGTTGCATATAACCAGTAGATTAACGTGTTCTAATAAGGGAACAGAGAAAGGAAGACAAGAAGAGTGGGGATGGGGAGCAGGGAGTAACTCCCTTCTCACCTTGAGGTCTCTGTGGATGACGGGCGTCTTGCATTGATGCAGGCGGGCCACGGCCTCGCAGGTGTCACAGAAGATGTGGAGGACCTCCGCCTCACTGAAACCCACATTCAGCCGCTGGTTCATCTGCTTTACCACCTGACCCGCTGCAAGAGAGAGGTGGACGGAGAGCTTTAGGACTCATCAGCTCAGGCTGGGTAACCATAGTCCCAGCCAGCACGTTTGGTGTTCTTGCAAAATCTTCCAGCTGAGATAGTCTGCAGTTGTCCTGATTAAATATGCTCGTAACAACCTCAAGCTGAACTTGACCTAATTAAAACTCAATATTTATGACATGGCATATTGTATCGAAGCATCATAGATCTTTTGGTATTATCATTACAAGTTAGCTGAGGTCATACTTTTTTGTGACCATAATAAGCCGTTAATAAATTAATAAAAATTGGGAAAACATGTTTCAAGGACAATAAGACGGCCATGAGCAAAACAAATGTTTCAAACTGTTGTTAAGTAAACTAAATATGTCACCATGTACAAGATGCATCTATCTGAATATTCTCATTAATCAGTCATGTTTGCATGTAAAATCGTCCAATGAGGGCAAAACCGCTCAAAATAGCCTCCCAAAAAGCCAAGCTGAGCCAGATATCTGCCACGATCAATAGATGGGCCACACAAAGGACAGAGGCAGCAACAAAGCAACAAGCCTCTTTAACTACTAGGGCTGTCCCAAATACCAGATTTTGGGCATCGAAGCCTCAGTGAGAAATAGTCGCGATTAATCAAAGCTTAGACGGGAGGCAATTCAAGTATGAGGACGGCAGCTTACTTAGCTTACTAGCTCACTTACCCTGACGCAATTAATATCAGAAGTCAGACATTATAAACAGAGACTATAATGAAGCTGAATTAAATAAGTATAAAACAGTACCTTTACAGTATTCCATGAGGATCAGGACCTCCCAGACGCTGTCCGACACAGCGGTGATTGTGGAGTCCAGGTATCCGACAATGTTCTTGTGGCCTGACAGCTCTTTCTACATACAGGAGGAAAACATGAAACTGATCAGGACACAAACACATAGAAGCATTCAAGAAGGAGAGACTGTGCAACTCCAGGATTTAATTGTCACGAAGCCTCAAAAAAGAAAACAGACAAAAACACAAGGTAGCTATTGAGGTGATTATGTGGATTGCGTACACAGTGTTTTGTCCTTTCTTAGTAAGCGCTCATGAGTATTCATGTTTGGACTTGTGTCGTTTTGCTGCTATATTTGTTTAGCTGAGGGAGGCTGCTACTCAATGCTCAAATCAACATAAAGAAAAAGTGCAGCTTCGAAGAATGCTCTGCTGTTTCTTCATGTCTTTTTAAATAATATAAATTAAAGACGTCAGACAAGTCAATCATGTTAGATATGGTACAGATTATAATGTCTAAAGTTACAAACATTCAAACTCAATTAGTTTAAGGAAGACAAAAAGATACACCACCTAAACATCTAACTTTAAAGCACAGAAACTTTGCCTCATAATCAAGTTGAGACAATTGTGTTTACCTCCTGGTTTTGCCACATAGAGCAGTGGTAATCTATGGAAACCACATCCACATTTACAAACAAACAGCCGGTGATTGCTTCATCAAAAAACACATCCCAAAAGTTAAACATCCAGTTCATTTGAGTCCAATCTCATCTTTGCCATCGAGCTACTGTGTGTGGTAAGAAACCTTTTTGTATTTATTTGTGTCCCAACACCATGCTGAGCTCTTAACTCCACTAATCGCTCTTAACTTGATTCATTCGCTGGATTAAAGCATCGCAGCGTTTGTGCTTGTTGTTGTTAAACACCAGCATGAAAAGAGACTTGCAGTGTGTTGTAGAAACCGACACACCTTAGACCAACGTCCCAACAGGCCAGAACTGTGTCAGTGTTTAAGGTCAGCTGTGTGGGTGAGTATTTCACAGCTGATGATGAGGCAAATGAACAGACACACAAAGCTGGCCAAACAGCTCAGAGTGAGCTGTCCGCTGACACACTAGGTCAAACGTTCAAGACGAGACATCTGCTGTTGTCCAAGATGTACGCGTCTGCTCAGTTACAGAATAAATGAGAATATCCAACTTTGAATGACATGAAACACCTTGAATTATCTGCTGTAATCATGGAGGTGCCCACTCTCTGTAATAGATCAAATGTATTAGTCAATGGACCAGGTGCATTAATACAATGTCACCCAGCACACAGCCAAAAGGCTTTTGCTCTTGCCAAACTGGAAATGTTGGCAAACAGGACGGGTCAGGAAGATGGAATGAAGCCATTTGTATGCACCTTGCTTTACGAGGGCATGCGACTTTATGAGGGCGTGTGTCCCATTTCAAACAGGAATTATGTCCTTAAATTAAATACCCGATAACTGAGAGTGCCCTCATGAAATTTTCAAATAATGAGCACAGTGTCTTCAAGTACAAATGAAGCCCTCAGAGCTCAAGAAGTGAGAGAAATCATTTTTCCAGCCCATGAAGGGCAGGAAGGAAGTGAAATACCAAGAATTAGTAGAACATGGGGATAAACAGTGTGATCAGGAATATTATGAGCTGATTCTTATATTTTCATCTTCAACAGACTGTGTTTAATTCACACCGCAAATTTCCTTTTCAAAAAGATTTCCAATCAAACATTACCACAACTAGCTGCACAATTAGGCAAAGGTTATATTTTAATTTCCTGCGCTATGATTAATATTTGTGTGCAATGAGCAAACTTAAAATCAAGCTCTATTATAAAAGCAAGACAGAAGAAGACTAAGGTTGGGCTGAGAGATAACATCTGTAACTACACAACCAAACATTGTGATGCTGCTCTCACCATGATAGTGATCTCTCTCTTGTACACATTCAGGTCTGGGACGTTGTTGACGTACATCCTTTTGAGAGCACAGCGGACACCACTGTGTGTACGAGCCAGAAACACCACCGAGAAGCCCCCTGGAAAAACACAAGATGATGCGTTAGCATTACATCAGCATACTAAGGTACATTTCACACATGAAAATTATTTCACAGGGTGGTGGTTATCACGAATACCACATAGAAAACTGCTAACTGGCCATAAATAATAAATTAGGCAATGCTCACACAAGACTTGAATATCAGACTATGGCTTATGTTCCTGCATGACAGCAGCAATTGCAAAGACATTTTACGGTTAACCATGTCACAAATACACTTTGCACATACATGGTAAATCACATTTTTCACCCAAAACATCTTATTTCTCACACACATTGCCATTTTTGTTGAGACTGTGACTGCTGTGAGGTGTGAATGTGAGTACAAAACAGGGCAGTGCTGAAAAAAAAAAAAAACAACCAAATATACTCAAGATCAGGGTAGAAACATCAGTCAGATAAAGTGTAATCTAGGCTTTATAGACAGCCGCCAAGAGCTGATATTTTTACAGCAGCTAACTGGTCTCATTTCAAGTAGGCTAAGCTTCTTTAGCTTGCATTGGACTGACTCCAATTGAGTGTAATCCTGGAGTAAATTAAGCTATTTGCTTTATAAAACCTAGCAAGGTTTAACAGGAATGAGATGTGAAGCGAATTTTCAGTGGGAAGCTTGGTTTCTGGTGTAGGAGTGAACTGTGTTGACAGGGACGAGGTGTTTAGCTAGAATGCCAGTAGCTGTTGTCACTGTCCTGTGTGCCTCTCTGGGTGAATGGACTCTAGCACTGTGATGGGACAGTCCCCGGTCTCATTAGAGGGGATCACTGAGTCACTGAGTGTTGGGCATCAAAGTCCACCGACTGAGGAGAAGAAAGAAAGGATCGACAATGGTGTGCTTGTTGCCTAACAAGTTACCTTAGGTCAGCTGAAAAACAGCGTAGCTTTGGATCGAGAATGAGCAGAAGTGGAGGGGAGCTGAAGTGACCAGTGGACACAAAGGCCTTCATTGAAAAGTCCATCAACACAATGTTAAAACAGATCTCAGAAGCTGTGCTGGTGTGAGGACAATGCAACATAAAGAGTACAAATAATTCACGCAGGTTAAACCTGTGTGTTCCTGTGAGGACGGTAAACAGAGGATGGCAGAGTCGACAGTCAGCCAAAACAAAGTCAGGCAAAGCAAACATAAACAAACTGAAGTGTAGCGTTTGCTGGTATGTAGTGACAACAGTGAGAGTTACTGTAGCAGGCATTATCAGCTTAGAGGGGGTGACTGATGCCACTCTGCTGCACAGGGGAATCAACAGCTATCTAATGAGACAGAGGACAACCTGCTATAGCAGAGCTGCAGCTGGAAATAAAGCAAGACAGCATTCAATGGAGCAAATGAGAAACTGCCATGAAACACCAACAAAGTGACAGTATATTTTGGTTTTGGTCTATTCTGTGTCATCTAGTTTTAACCCTCATTTCAGGAACATATAAGACCGTCGTGATTTTTGATGCCACTGATCCAGAGATTAACATATAAATTGCTGACAGTCACAAGGTCAGGGTTGGCTGCATACAGACAAACGATAAAAAAATAGACAATAAAAACATAAACTGCTGATGAGACAACAAGCAGCTTCTAAAACGTTATGCTCATGCTGCTGAAACGGGTAACAATAGCAGAATGGAATCAAAAACCCATTGCAAGGGGAACATTACAGAAATAGAAATGTGTCAGAGAATTTCAGCACAACAACTTGAAATATCACTGATGCTGGGCAAAAAAAAACTGAAATAGAATAATAACAGAATGAAAAGATTAAATTTGCTGCATGTATAAATGGAGCTACCAAGTATCAGACCTGCTGCCACCTCCGAAAAAAAGACAGAAAAAGAAATTCTGCCAAGACAAAGTACAAGAGCCAGAGCTGTTTACGCCTCCTGGATGCTGTTTATCGATTTGCCTTGGTCTGCCCTGTGTGCTAAGGTTAGCTTGATGGTCACTCCAAACCGCTGGGCCAAGCTTAAATTGATTTCCTGTAACACAGCAGTTGAGTGCAGAGCCATCCAGAGACTTGTGGGGAGTGGGAGTGAACTTTACGCAGAAAAATGAATCATATGACATTGTCTTATGAAAGAGCTACTTTTAAAAGAGCAGGCAATCATTTATGAAGACTGTCTTTAAGATGAAATTCGGTCGTTATTTAGTGGTGGGAGAAATATCTAGACCCTTTACTGCAGCAAGAGTACCACTACCACTCTGCAAATACACTTCACTAGAAGCAAAAGTTCTGCATTCAAGACCTTACTTCAGTAAAAGTATTTAACTACCATCAGCAAAAATCACTTAAAGATCAAGCGTGTAGGATTTACTGACATACAGCCGTGAGGTTGCAGAAGTGAAACATCTCTGGTATGCCAAGCATGTAGGAGAACTGCGTTTGCCGACGCAAAAAGGCGAATAACCATATCGAGAGCCATTAGCCCTTTAGATAGGAATTGTGCAAATTTGCAAGAAAGCCCAATCAGTCTTCTTTCAGCATTGGCAGTATAAAAACAAAAGCAGGGAGTGCAGCGAAATGCCGCCAGCCTTCTTTTGTTTATACAGAATGTGCCTTTTTCGGGGCAATGGGGGGCGTGAGCAAGTAACAAAACGTGTAGCTCAGCATGTGACGTAAACAGTGACGTGGGAGGGAAGCTGTGGCTGGTCAGTCCTTCGGTGATTCTCTCGTAAGTCAGCCCGTCCTTCACCGTCCCCGTCATCTAACGGTTAATGGCCTCTTCGTTTGCGAGGACAAGGAGGGCGTGAAATTCCTTGTCTCCCCAGTTGCTCATCTTTACAGTGTCTGTCAAATTTGTGTTTCCCTCTTGCTACTAGCTGCTCGCTAATTCCTGCTATCAGCTGTTTCCTGTTTATCCACCGCCAGTGGGTCACACGTGCAGCGTCATCAACAGCTCCTCCCACAAGTCATCAACAGCCCCTCCCGTGGCGGAAGGGAGCCTCGTTCTTTTTAAACCAAAAAGTTTCCGCCAATATGTCTACCCCTACGCGGCGGAAAATTGGGCACTTCGGATCAACTTCCCAATCCGGCTCTGTGTGTCTAAACGCTCGCAGCTTGCCGGCAAAACGGCCCAGCATTCCCTGAAAATCTGGCAGTGTAAAAGGGGCTAATGTTTGAATTGTCTGTTCTGAGCTACTGTAGAACTCTGTGGTAGAAGACCCACTCTCTGTGTAAATAGCTCATATTAAGGTAACAAAAACACTGTGAGTCTTATTTTCAGGTGATTATAACCTAATGAAAACACAGTTTTGAATATTATATTCCTTTTCTACCAGTATACCCTCTAAATCCTACACACTTAACCTTTAAAGTATGAAAATTAAAAGCACTCATTGTGCAGTAAAATGTTCTATATCTGATGTTTTTGGATTAGTATTACTGCTGCATTAATGTGTGTGTGGCATTCTGCTGTAGATGTTTAAAATGTTGTTGTGCTCATTTTAACTCCTTTATATACTGCTGGGTAGTTTAATCTACAGCAACGCATCATGTTCTATTAGATCATCATATATTTGTGGCATGGCTGTCCTGTGAGAACCACAGATCTTTAAAAAGTCAACTTTTCATGGTGTCAGAAAAACAGCCCTGTTTCCAGCTTTGTGACGATGCATTTTCCAGCTGATTCAAGAAAGTTTTTAAAGAGTTTATTCAGCTGAAGAAGTAGAAGTTTCTCAACACATAAAGGAACACTTCATCTTTCAGTTTATGACAGTCAACAAACAGTCAAAAATTTAAATATTTACCTCTGAGATGGAGTTAAGTAGACGTATTAAGGAACATAAAATTGAAACACTCATGTAAAGTTAGTCAATTTTTTACATAAGTAAATTATTTGGGTGAATGTAGTTAGTTACATCCCATCACTGGTCATGTTATGTGATGCAGAGTGTGCTTTATGAATCTGCCATATAAGTAAAAGCTACCTGTGAGTCATATTGTGCAAATCTTAAGCATTATATACTGCTTTGACACAATGTAGGATGCAGACGTAGTAAAGATCAAACTTGAGGCCAGAAAGGAAGCAAGAAGATGTGGGGGTTGCATGAGCTGGGTGACAGACTTTACAAGGCAAAATCCATTTGCTCGGGCAAAGGGCCAAAAGGCTGAAAGGAGCAGGCTGTTTAAGCATGCATGGACAAGATGCAAAAAGAAAAGCTAACCTTAGCACAAAAACAGAGCAACTGAAGAGCTACACTTAACATCCTAAAAACCAAATTCACTCTCTCTGTGTTGCCTCAGAGCAGACTACATGATATTTCATGCTGAGACTGTTGGCATGTTGACTGGGAGTGAAGTGAAGTGATGTCAGATGAGGTGTACTGATTACAAGATTATTCCAGAGATGCACGGCTGGAACGAATAATCTGCTCATCTCTTAGGTGTTCCAACAACAAGCATCTTGTTGTTGTGCACAATATATTACAAAACCCAACCCAGTGTCTGGGACACCTCGTGACAAAGTCAGGATTTGTTTTGGACCTGCAAAAGTCACGTAGTATCCATCAGAGTCAGGTTAGGGGATTGGACAAATATATCGGTTACTGGCTGGGTCAATTTTTCTCATTTTATTTTGCTAATTTAATGGTTTGCCTTCAAAAAACGAGTAAGACACAGCACAGGAAAAAACAATGTGAAGTAGAGCCTTCATATTTTCACTTCTAACTTTGTGAATTACTGGTTTATTTTGATCAAACCAGAACAAGAACTTGGTAGAGCAATGGAAAGACTAACCAAGACAGTTTTTATGAGTTTTATCTTGTTTCTGTTGAGTTTCAATCTGGGAGGTTTAACAATGAGTGCACAAGGCAATTAAGCTAGTCTTAGTTCGAAAAGGAGAAAAATTTGAATTCAGAAGGTGTGCAGTTTTTTGTTTGATAAGGAATTGGTGTAAAAATATGGCATGAGCAAATCAAACTCACTAGAGTGCCAGCTGTTGCACGTTTGCTCTTTTTTTTCTGGTCACGAGAGTTAAAAAAAAAACAAAACA